TGGGATAACAAGGGAGAGTGAGGGTGAAGAGAGAGAGACGTACCTGGTGGAGAGGAAGTCGGCATTGGTGTTGACGTCATCACTCGTTGGTCGTCAAGTTGTCAGGTTGCTTCCATGCTGTAGTTGTAGTATTAGGTTGTAGAGTAGATAGGGCGCCTGACGCCATTCAAGAGTGAGAGCTACATTGGGTTATGTTGCTGGTGTTGCCCGATTGGGCTTGGACATTGACTCACATTCTGCTGTATTGCTCTCAAATGGATGGTTACTCGATTCCATTGTGCTATCTGCTCTTGCTTTGACTACTTGGACTTCAGTGTGATTTTGCGATTTGGATTTTTGTGCTTCGTCCACATTCATGTTCATTGCATTTTGGTATCGGAGCTGGTTGGATTCGCCACTTACCTTGGTGTGTTGGCGTTATACAGACTTGGTGCGTCGACGATGCTTCTTCATTGTTGGTTCTTGTGACGTCGGGCCATATTAGGCGCACGACCTGGGTAGAGAGGTGTGCGCCGGAAGGCTATATGGCATGGGATGTCGTGGTGACGGCAGAATGTATGATTGGTGATGAGAGCATGCTGATGTGGCATTTAGTTGAGGTGGCACTGCATTGCGTTGTGGGTGGTACCAAGGCTGCGACCAATCATCAAATGCACACTCAGTTTAATTGGTGAGAAATCTGTGGTTGGGGGCAGCTATCTCCAGGTACGTTGTTCCCTTACCTTATCTACCTTATCTACGTTGGGGGCAGCTATCTCCAGGTACGTTGTTCCCTTACCTTATCTACCTTATCTACCCTCTCAATCTCTTCTTACCGCGAGGAAGAGAGTCCAACTTGAGAGTCCTCTCTTTTAGTGAGGTGTCGTGAGCACGCTACCTTGAGAGACTACAATCTTCCTGGTGGCGCATCTGGAAGGAGAAAGGGTGGTGCAAGTGAAGGGCCCTGGTCGAAGCACATGGGTCACGATCACCATGCCAACCCAATGGGATTAGTACACGCATGCGATAGCTGGTTTGTCCATGAGGGCACTTTGTTGCGCTAATAGAGGGGTGTGCAGACTGAACAGGCTTAATATGCAGACGCTCCCAGACCGCCTATAAACATTTCTGGATGCGGTTCCGATCTGATTCTGGTTGTGATCGTTGTCTTGATTGCGACGTTAAATAATTCCTCAGCGACCTTGGGGGCAATCCTTAAATAGGCCTCTTAATCAGCCAGCTCATTCGGATGTACAGCTTGTTGCACGCGAGGATAAAGAATGGGCAAGCCTGGTCATAAGCATGCACCTGGGGCACAGGGGTGGGCCGACATTGCACACCTATGATACTGCTGCTCTTGATGCTCATCGGTATGTTGGATTGAGGGGAGGGTAAGTTCTAATTGGTGCTCAACTGTAAACACAACTATATCCACTATTCATGCATCTGCAACATAGTTTAGTTTTAGTTTTATTGATTGATTAGTTGGTTGAGAGACTGCTAACACCTCAGAGACAGTTTTAGTTTAGGACTGTTATATACTACACTAGCCAGTTCTATGCAAAACTTGTGTAAGTGAACTAATCACGATACAACTAGATTATGTTGACAGTCTTCTGTGAATGTTGTAGGCTGCCACTTGATCGGTTAAGTAGGGGACCTCCGGACATGTTCATTTTTAGAAAATTAGGTGTCGGTCAGACACATGTTGTGGTAGGACTCCACCAGGGAGTTGTAGTGCAGATAGTGTTTGCCTAACTGATGAGCGGGTCAGACACCGATGAGGGTAAAGTTGACAATCAGAGGATGACACGTTCAAGATCACTTAGGGTCCCGCGCGTGTTTCAGACCCTACAACCGGGAGACGAAGAACGGCTTCGGGTCAAACGTAGAGCCCGTGTTCTCGCAGCAGCCAGGGCGGCAGCAAACGCCGCAGCTAGGGAGCAGGCAGCAGCAGCAGCCAGCGCAGCAGCAATGGCTACCGCAGCAGCATCCTCCGCTGCATCCTCGTTTGGGACCCTGTTGGGGATGCCCCCTGGGTCCCCGGGTACTTCTAGTTCAACAGGTTGTGGTCAGTCCACAAGTCAAATGGCGGGCTCGCAATTCAGCCCGTTGTCCCCACGCGGTAGGGAGGTGCAAGAGCTCCAACAAGTCGAAAAGATCCGCGCTCGGTTAGAAAGAGAACTGAAACAAGCAACCGACAGAGTTTGGGAGACATCTAAAAAACATGGTCAATAAGACCTGGTCATCGTAGTGTATGTCGGGAACGACGTTGCGACAATCAGACTCTCTATGGTAGATGTTAGCTCTCTGACTGACTTGTACTTTCGTTGGTCTAGTATGAGCATCGCATCAGTGGCAATTTGTGCCTGCTGAGGATTATGCCAGCGAGCTTCTACCATGTCTAAGAACTCTTCAAACGTAAGGGTCTTAGCCCAATCTTCCATATGTCGTCCGTACCCGGCCTTTGCTACTAATCAATCCAGCCATTTGGCTGCCTTACCCTCGAGGTAAGATGCAGCAGTAATCACCTCCTCCTCCTACAAAGTCCTATGTGTTGAGTTCCTCGTCCTTCTTCTCTCTGGAGAAGGCAAGGGGTGGTTTCATAGGGGTCTTTGGGTACCATTGACCTTGCAGCTGTCCCTGTTGAGGAACAGGTTGTTGCGGTGATGGTGTAACTGCCACCGTTGACCCAGAAGAAGAAGAAGCAATAGTCTATGCAGCTGCTGCAGACGTACCACTTGGCTGTGTGCCAGCTTGTACCGGAAAGGGGCCTGACATCGTCGTTAACGGCAACGGCAACTGTGCTGCTGGCCGAAATCCTGACCTTTGCAAAAGGTCCAAGATCTGGTCGAAAGAGTTCTGCATGAAGTCCAGTCTGCTGTCCACATGCCCATGCAACAACAGTACGCTGTTCTTCAACACTTTCATTTGGTCAGTCATGGCTGACTCATCAAAACCCTCGAGTGCAGCTTGTCTGCCTCAAAACATAAATTTGCTGGCCAGCAAGGCTCGCCTCGAGTATCATCCTTTGAGACCTTCTCTAGAAAGACCTTAGATTTAGAGGCTACTCTAGGAAGTGCTCAACATACTCCAGTAGACGGGAGGAAGAAGAAGAGTCCACAGGAGTGGAAGAAGATGGGGAGTCGATTGATGATGGTTGAGTCTGATGGGACCCAAACTGAGATCGATGAGCTTTCAGACCTGTTGGATTGTACAGAGTACGACGACGAGGAGACCGCTGAGGGTAGCACCCTCGCCGTAGTTGTAAAGACGAAGGCAGGTGGCCGAGGGAAGGGCCATCAAAGGAGTCAAGGGCAGGCCGCCTCCAACCAGACCAAAGTTGCTCATTGGGTCAAGGCAGGTCTTGATCAGGAAGTGTGGCAGGACCATAGAGTGCGTGGTGCTTGCATCAACTGTGGTGAATACGGACACACCCAGTACAAGTGCAAGAATGCAAAGGTCACGCAGAAGATACCCCCTAAGGGAGGGGTACCTTCTTCCCAGGCTTCTAGCTCGGGAAACATGTAAGGTCGGTGAAATTTTTAGCTGCTTCTACTCATGGTGAAGTGGGACAGATACCCTCCCCACTTCATGAGAAGGCCATAGCTAATAACTCTTTAGTCACCCTGCAGACTCATCCAGACCAAACTATGCTCTGTACGTTGGATGTGTCTGATGCAATAGAAAATTTAGAAAGTGAGTGGTCAAACAAGGATCCTCGCGAATCTTGGGTGGCACTAAGAAGAGGTCCTAGAGGGGAACATTTCGTTGTGGAAGTTGTTGTAGGAGACCGCAAATGTGGTGCCTTCATAGACATCGGCTCCACACGAAATTACATAAGTCGCGACTATTTGGAAAGGCTGCACCTAAAGGACCAGGTACAACACCTTTAAGTTAGTAGACCAATAACACCTACTTTGGCCAATAAGGAGCGCATGGTAGTCACAGACTATGTTAAGGATGTAGTCTGTACCTTCTCCTATGCATGGTTAGCGACGACTTACCATTTGACATGTTGTTAGGAATGTACTACCTTCAGGTTGCCAAACCCCAGTTTGACTGGGACAAGAAGGTGCTAAAGCATTAGTTGTCTGACGGAAGAACAGTGAGACTGACTAAGTCCAAAGCCAGTAGTACAATCGATACCTATGGCTGCTTGTGTGCATCAGCGTTTTATAACAACTATAAACAGAACCAAGAGGAGGGTACGTACGTAGTGTATGTCTCTGAGAAAGGGGACTCGGAGGCCCTTAAAACACCCCCAGAGATAGAACACGTCATTGCTGAGTTCCCTTATCTGTTCACAGAGCCCACATGAGTCATCAATAGGGAGGTTGTCCACTCCATAGAAATCATTCCAGGGAGTAAAACCCCAAAGGGAAGGATCTATAGGATGGGTCCGACCGAGTTGGATGAACTTCCGCGACAACTGAAAGAGCCGACAGAAAAGGGATGGAATCAGCCGAGTACTTCCCCCTTCGGATCTCCAGTGCTTGTACCGAAGAAGGGGGGTACACCGAGGATGTGCCTTAATTACAGAGGCCTCAATACCATCACAATGAAAAACGCAGAGCCTCTACCTCGCATAGACGACCTATTGGATAGGGTGCAGGGATGTAAGTACTATACCAAGATAGACTTAAAATCTGGCTACCATCAGATTGCTGTAAGACCTGAGGATCAGCACAAGACTGCTTTTCAGACCAGATACAGTCTGTATGAGTTTGTAGTGATGCCCTTTGGCCTTTGCAATGCGCTGGGTACATTCCGGTATGCCATGAATAGGATCTTCGATGAACACTTAGATAAGTTTGTCGATGTCTACCTTTACGATATTCTTATCTTTAGTAAGTTTGTCGAGGAATATGCACAACACGTTGAGACTGTACTTTCACTCCTGCGACAACACAAGTATAAGGTCAACCTAGAGAAATGTGAGTTTGGACGCACTAAGATCTKATACTTGGGTCATGAAGTATCCGCGGAAGGTATTAGGCCGAAAGATGCGAAGGTGGCTAGTATCAGGGACTGACCACGACCTCAGACTGTTACTGAGGTCAGATCTTTCTTAGGAATGTGCAGCTACTATAGGAACTTCGTAAAGAACAATTCTACAGTCGTCTCCCCTTTGACTGATCTTACTCGACTTGACACGCCGTGGGACTGGAGTGATGAGTGCGAGGTTACTTTCAAACGATTGAAGCATGCACTCATGAATCATGAGGTTCTCATGGTGCCCGATCCTCAGAAGCCTTTCATTGTAACCACTGATGCAAGCCAATACGACATTGGTGCACCGTATCTTGAATGCGGTCTTGTACCGATCTTGAGGCTGGATTTCAATCTGGTGGTAACGTGACTTCAAGTCCAACTTCGAGAAGTACGTCGCATCACCTAACCGCTCAAGGAGATCATCGATCCGAGGGAGAGGGCCAGCGTTCTTTACGGTTTGTGCGTTAAGTTTGCGATAGTCGATGCATAACCGTAGATCTTTGTTCTTCTTCCGGACGAAGAGAACAGGTGCACCGTATGGCGAGCAACTAGGGCGAATCCAGCCCTTGTCGAGAAGGTCATCGAGTTGTGCGCGAAGCACCTCGAGTTCCTCTTCGCTCATGCGGTAAATACATCCACGCGGAGGGACGGCGCCAGCCTCGAGAGTGATCCCGTGATGTATGGGCCGATCCGGGACCGTTCCGGTAGGAGCCTCGAAGACGTCTCTATACTCGTCCAAGAGGTGAGAAATGCGTGAGTCCGACGGTGACGTGGCTGGTCCGTCCGGCGAGGGGAGAGCATGCAAGAATTCAAGGCCCATCTCCTCGACGTCATTCCGAGCTATGGCGTTGCGAATTCTTGCAACGGAAACCACGTGACAAGCAATCGAAGTGTGAGGGGTCGCGACCGTACATGGGACTAACACCCCGTTCTGATCACGGATGTGAACGGTCCGGTCGTGGAAGTTCACTGGATGGTCGGCGCTACGCAACCAAGACATGCCTAGAATCATGTCGAACTTGGTGTCGAGGATGTCAAAAGACACCGGCTCGCACGCAAGTGGCGCAAAGTAGACTGGAACGCCGTCAATGCATCGGTCAATTGACTTTTGCGTGCGGCCGTCCGCGAGTGTAACTTGCGTAGGTTGCGTCTTCCTTCGAACGCGCGGGCCAAAACCTGCGCGGACCATAAAGGCTTGGCTCATAAAGTTGTGAGACGCTCCGCAATCAATCAAGGCACTACAGGTTGCCTTTCCGATCTGATTGCGGATACAGAGCAAAGGCGAGTCGGTTTCGGCGTACCTTTGGGTGGCGTACTCGCGGTCAATCTTCGCAAGATAGGAGCGGAGATCGACAACCGCTACCCCGTCGACCCTCAACGGAGCTGGTACTGTAGTGTGCAAATAGGAGCGTAAATCTGCCATCAAGGCATTGCAATGCGGCCTTGGCAAGGTTCCGGTCGATAGTAGAGGCATCCAAGCGAAGTCTTCTCTCGTGAGCGGGTCAAGCTCCTCAAGTCTTGACCACGCTATCGAGTCCTCGGAAATCAGTGGCGAACTGACCGGATCACTTGCCGACGGTGCACAGGCTGCGCATACGCTAGCTAAATGCACGTGGCTTGGCTGGTCTAATGGTGGTACCAGCTGGGCGGCATAATCCTCGTACGTGGCACGAGAATCAACGACTAACGCATGCTCCCTAGTAGTGACATCGATTGCTAGCAAGGCAACCGGTTCCGGTGGAGTGAGGAGAGACGTCGCCCCTCTCCTTGCGTAACTCAGTTTCCCGAGTTTGTTGGACGGGGTACGCGTGCCTTGCCCTTTTCGGGGCATTGTGCGGTCAAATGAGTGACGCCGTTGCACCAAAGGCAGTATTCGTACTTCTGACGAAGGTCATAGACATCCTTTGTTATCTTGTAAGTCGTCCATGGCTGCTGCCTTGTTCCCGTCGATGCCGTCTCTTGTGTCGCCTTGTTCTTCCGAACTCTCTTGGGACGCTTCGGCGGGAGCGCTGCTACAATTCCTCCATCACTTGAGGATGCTGCTGCAACGTGGAGATCGTCTGTTTCTTCAGAAATCATGGCATTGTTATGTGTCGGACGTTAATAGCCCTGCTTAGCCACATAATGCGGCTGGGACTGCCGTTCGTTTGCGGCCTTGTCGCCGTTTGGATGACCAAGTTCGCACGATCCAGGATGGCCTGGAATGAGGCGTAATCGTACTCGTTGTCGAGTGCGGTTCGCAGTCCTGCGCATAATCGCGAGAAGAACTCGGATCGTTGATTGGTAAAACTCAAATCGAAGCCTGGCGTGGTCACTATCTTCTGCCACTTGGTTGTCCAGTCTCGAGTTGGCATATTCCCTTGAGAGCAAGTATACACTTCATTCATGGCCGCCTTCACGACGTTGCGGACCATGAAACGGGTGAACCATAGCTTCTCGAAATCCTTCCACGTAATGTGCGTGTGAAGTTCGGCGATGGTGCATGCGTGGGTAGCCGCCAGATGGTTCATCCATGCCTGCGCTCCTCCAATCAGCTGTAAGTATAGCGCCTTCATCAGATAGTCGTCCGGGACAGTGCGGCATGATGCTTCCTTGAGGAAACGTTGCCACCATGCCAAAGCGTCCGTCTTGTTGTGGTCGTCGAACTTGCTGATGTCGAAGTGCGGCATCTTGTATTTCTTCGTAGCGGCATCCGGTCTCGTCTGCAGCTTGGTGATGTCCGTCTTGATGGCGGCCACCGTGCTACTGATCGTGTCCGGTCCATTGAAAACACCTATGTCGCCGATGAGCTTGACGACGTGATCGATGCGCCCGTTGAGTTGCTTCGTCTCGTCTGTCGTGCAGCCTGGCGCTGCTGAGGCCTTAGCCTCGATGCTGCTGACACGTGCGGTGGTGGTGTTCCACAGCTGTTGCTGTTGGTGCTGATGTGTGGCTGTAGTGCGAACAGCTGCTGACAAGGCTGCAAAATCCTTCTGCTGAATCTGTTGCAGCTGTCTGCCTTCGTGTATTTGTACTGCTAACATCGTATTGTTCCACATGATCGCTCGCATCATCGTCAACATCATGTTAGCCAGGTGAGTCCTCTCTGCCTCCGCTGGTGTCGGATCTGCCTGCTCTTTCGAAGGCACAAAGATCATGCCCTCGAGGATCGTTGTCCACTGATTCTCATTATGAATCAGGGATTCCGTGCTGGCGGCATTCCGTTGGTCCCGTGCTGCTGCGTCATCCTCAGCAGTCTGATGAGCTTGGGCTGCCGCCTCATTGGCCAGCCGCTGACGCTCCGCCTCTGCTTCCTCCTGTGCCTTTGCGGTTGCTACGGCATCAGTGAATGCCTGTACCCGCTGAAGGTAATCTGCCAACGGCTCACCGGCCCCTTGGACCGGGCATGCGGGAAGAACTCCGGTGGTAACCGGTACCGTCAATGCTGTACTCGATGCCGCTGGAGTCGTCCGGCTGCTGAGTCGCTGAGTCCTGCGTCGGAGAGGTATCACAGAGCGGGCACGCCCTGCAAGCTTGGCACTGCGTCGTGGCAGTGCCCCGGTGTCTTGTTCCATCGACATCAGTGCTAGCTGATGTGGTACTTGAGAGAACCCGGTGGTCACAGAGTACGGGGAGGGTAGGGAGGGTGGGAACAGGGGTAGAACAGTCAAACAATTTGCATACAGTCCCCTGTCCCGCTGATGGACTGTAGACAGCTAATCAAAACAGAAAAATAAATTTCCCGTACACAATTCCGAAATTCGAAATAAGAAAAAAAATTAACGAATTATTTAATCAATAAAACTTAATTAATAATTCTTAATGATAATCCATAAAACAATGTTTGTAATAAAGATAATCAATAACCAATATTTGCAATAAAGATAATCAATAAACAGTGTTTGCAAGAATGATAATGGACGAATTTGAATTGTATTTGGATTAGGTATCTGTTGCGATCAAGGCTGGTCCGGGAGTTCACCGTTAATTAGTGAACTACCCGGAAGTTGCAGTTTTGAGGGTCAGATACGGATTAGTTTGCTCGAAAAATTTTCGAAAAAATTCAGAAGGAAAAACACTCGAATTTTCAAAAACGTGAAATTTCGGGGATTCCCACCGTCAAAATCCGATTTTTAAAGGCTTAAACCCGTTTTCGGAATTTCTCCAACAAGGGGAATGAAAAAAAAATTCGCGAAAATTTCGGTCCCAACCCTAATTTTCCGCGTTTCGGCGGTATTTCCGGATTTACGGTCCCAAAATGTTCGAATGTCCCCAAGTTGATCTAAAACCAAAGATTTTCGTAACCCTAATTTCCAATACTGAAAGACAACGGAAATCCAAAAGAAAACGGAATATAGGATTTACAACAGAATGCCGAAAAACGGAATGCTGAATGGAAATCAGAAAAGCCGAATTTCAACATGATACTGCTTCAACCCTAATACGTATAAAATCGAAAATCCGAAACTTAATCAATTATCGGATTAGTATTACTCAATCGGAACCCAAATAAACAGCATACCGGAAGAAAACAGAAATCCAAATTATAAGTCCGAATATCGAATTGAAACGGCAATGCCGAAATAAGTAGAATACTGAAAAAGAAACAAAAAATTTGCAACTTTGAACTCGATAGTAAGCCAGAGCTAATTCGGATGATTGAAACAACAATCTACGTCCTCATCAGACTTACCTGGTGAGCAGATCCGTTAATATGGTCTGCTCCGATACCAAAACTGTTGCATACTTCAATGAGTATGGGCAGAACCAAAGATCAACCAATGTAGGATGAGCATATATACAGCGGAAGTCTGATAAACGGACTGACTCACATAGACTGACTAATATAGCATCACTCCTCACACATACAATCGTGAGATGGTGGGGTCTGGGCCAAGCATGGACGATGCCCAGATCCCGTACACACATACACAGATGAAGGTGGGAGGAGAGACAAAGGAGGTGGGGAGGAAGACAACACCAATAGGTCACCGAGATATAATCCGATAGGTCACCGATATGGTAGTCCAAAATGTCATCCAACAAGATCAGAATGTCGAGGACAATCGGTCACCAATGTCGGAGATACAGAGTCCAAATGTAACCGGTGTCCGAACTGTGATGCCGCCGAGTATCAACCCCAACAATCTCCAAGCCTCCAATCCAGTAAGCACCCCAGTCTCATACCACCGAAGTCCAACACTGATCTCTGTCCAACTAGTTCAAGTCTCCAATCTGAAGAAGAAGAAGAAGAAGAAGAAGAAGAAGAAGAAGAAGAAGAAGAAGAAGAAGAAGAAGAAGAAGAAGGAGGAGCCAAGGAGGAGAGAGAGAGAGAGAGGGGACTGGCAATGGGAGGGAGGAGAGAAACCTCCAACTCCCAATATCTCAGGCGGCTATGGCCGCCGGTAACCCAGTCGCCGCTGCTGCTGCTTCGCTGGCTGCTGCTGCGCTAATCCGCGCTGCGCTGCTCCTCGCTGCTCCTGCGCTAATCTTAGCGCCAGCGCTGTATCGCGCTGTACCATACCGTACCGGTAGAATGCCGGTAGGTCGATGGCCTCGAAGTGAGGCCGGACCAGTACTAAGTACTGGTTCGAAGAGGACCGGCCTCAATGCTGCGAGGCCCTGGTTGGGGCTGAACCGTCCAGATCGACGATTCAGGTCCAACCGGAGAGCGGCAGCCTCAAATGGCGCCGCCAGGCCCAAAACGAAATGTCGTTTGGGCCTGGTCCGTAATCTGGTCCAAGTCGTGGCCTTTCGGCCTGTTACCCCCCAAGGTCGGGCCTTTAGGCCCTGATGTGTCCCTCTAGCCCTAAGTCGGGTCCGGTAGGACCCGTGTGGCGTCGAAGATGTAACACCGACAGACTGGCCTCTTGTTCCATTCTACAGCAGTTTTCTTGAGCAGTGACCGTTTAGAACCCTGTGAAGTTCGTCATACCTCTGTTCTGTCCATTGCCACTTCACTTCCTCCCTTACCCTTTCCCCCTTCCCCTGCCCCTCACTCCCTATACCCCTTTTCCTTCCTCCCTTCCCTTATGTGCTACTAGTAAATGCATATGAAAGAAGATAATTAAGAGAACAGACAAATATAAGGTGGGGATCTGAAGTGAAATGAACAGGAGTATACCTCCCACTTACCAGGAGTATAAAAATAAAAGCCACATTAAGAAACACGATATATCGGGGAGCCAGGTCTAACAGCTAATCCCCATTTCTGCACCTACTATAGAGTCAACACGCTACTGCAGATGAGAACATTGAGAAGGCAACATACGAGCACACAAGGCAGGGAACAACAAGTGGCATAGGCTGGATGGCATTCGGAGAGGCGGGCGTTCAGACGACAGACAAGGCAGCGAAAGACAAGGCACAAGGCGACATACGAGCACACATGGCACGGAAAGACAACAAGCGACATAGGCTAGTCAAAGGAAATCGAAAGTGATTGTTTGAATTCGGTTCGCTGGTGCAGCTTTCACACTTAGCTATTGCTCTCTGCAACCATAAACTGCTGATTTGGCACATCAAGTAGGGGAATGAGCCTCGTAGACAAGTTACCGCAGTTTCTGCAATGAACCCCTCGCTCGCTGGCGAAGGGGGATGTTTGAATTTGAACACAAAAAAAAAGAACAAAAATGATAGAAAGCGTTTACAATGTGGCGACAAAAACTTTCTGCACACAGACACAAAAAACTTAAAGCTCAAAGCACCGGTACACCCTCCGAGTTTTGCTTGTGGCGACAAAAACTATCTGCACACACACACACGCGCACACACACACACACACACAC